AATATTAAGGCATCGGTTCAAACCACAACTGATTAAAGAATGCACAAATATACATGTGTTTCTCCCGCCAGTTGCTTACAGCATGCATTTTTAAACACAGATATTGATCCTCAACTTTCTTAACACCTCAAGTCACTTGTTTTTTCATCACAGATGGAAATATAAATGTAAATGATTAGGAATAATTTATTTTTTAAAATTTTGCTAGTTCTATCTAATCCCTGCATTTCCAAATAACATGCCACAGAACATGGAAAAAATACTGGCAATGCACCTGGCTCAATTCTACTTGGTCTGCTAATACAAAATTATTTTATAGTCTTGCACCACTTAAGCAGAGGCTGAAGGTCTTATGGAGTGTGCCATGCCATTCTGAATAATCTTAAGTTATTGTGGTTTGGTTGTTTTGGGGTTTATTTTGTTTTGGCTTTAAATTATTTTACTTCAAGGCAAATTTCTAAACATTTCAAAATTACACCTGAGTGAAACTCATAGTAACTTTCAGCTGAGAGGAGTCAAAATTTCACCGCAGTACATCTGAAATCTTCCGTGTCTATTGTCAATTAGAAACAGAAAACATTATTTTTTAAATACTATTAAGCAAAAAAACAGTGGTCCAAGTTAAAAAAAATGTTTTAAAAATCAATTCGAACAACTATCACAACCACTTATGAGCAATTAGTGCTGTATCTATTACGAAGAACTGGAGTCCAACCTATGATTATAATCCTCGTGCAGCAGATCCTCACTGGGATGTGGTGGGAGAGGTGGAGGGGTTTCATTTTCACCATTGCCACGGTCAGATACTGGAAACTCTGAAATAAAATTTAAGAAGGGGTTAAGTAATCCACAGAAACAAGCACATTACACTAGTTCACTGATTGATGACTGGACTGGAAGGCCTCGAGCAATGCTAAAGTGAATCAGAAATTATTCAAATCCCTAAACTAACTAACCTAGAATTAAAATCACACCAAGCAGAAAATATACCCCTTGGGATATCCTGAAGAGCTGATTTTCAGATTTGCATATGCATAATTAAAAGTAAATATAGGGAAGGTTTGTACTTATAGTGAAGTCGAGTGCAAGGCACAAATTGCTTTATTTCATTTGAGTGGATTTTCACTTCTAGCTGCATCCTAACTGATTGTTTGATGGGGAGCATTTATCACACTTCATGTATGGAAGAGAACCACATTCTCAGCAAAGCGTTCAAAAGGAGAAAAACTTCTGTTATCCTATGGCAAGAGAAGAAAGAAGCATTTCTCAATTACAGTCTTCACTCTCCTACCATTATGGTAACTCTTTCTTTACCCTTACAAAAAGCATTCAGCAAACACCAGAAAATTACTGTGTACAAAGAAAAACATGAACTACTCAAACCATTCAGTGGTTTGTAAGCAACCACACTTACATACCTACAGTGTTTAATAAGACTACTGTGCCTGCTGTAGGCCAGTTCATTACAGTTCTGCAAATTCACTTCTCAGTCTAAAGGCCTAATCTTAGAAAAAGTCTCTACATTTTTCAATATAGAACATGGCTTCACCCTTCCAAAACTTAACAGGAAACATGGACACTTTCTTGGGTTCCAAAGGCAGGTAGGTGATTTAACAATACTGACATACCACACTTTCACATGACCTGTTCTGTGGCACTGAATGTTGGTAGCCTTTTTGCCTAATCCTGTGTGAAAGTATTCATATAACTTCAGAAAAAAGGGTTCTACAAGGAAGGGATCAAGGCAGAAAGCAATATATTTACTTGATAAGAGCACTGAGATACTTCCCCTAAAAGCAAACAAAAAACCCAACCCCAACAAACCAACACTATTAGCTAAAAATCCTATAAAACTCCTATTGGCAGGACAGCATCCCAAAGATTACTACGACAAGAAATAGTTCAAACACTGTATCTCAGGAAAAGTGTGAACATCACCAGAAGAAAGCAAAGATGAGAAGATAAGAAGAAGGTTTTAACAAGACCCTAAAACATATTGACTGCCAGTCTGATGAAAAAAACTGGTATGCTGCCTAACATATGCACACTGGCTTCTTGCACTGTGATCATATTCTTTCAGGTTGCCATTTAAGGACAGGAAACAGATGAGGAGTAAACACAAGTTCACACAGTGAAGAGAGTTTAGAATAAAATGGAACTCGTACTTTTCAATGTACTTAAGTGATTTGAAAGACGAAAAAATTTACTCATGTGAAAACCGTCAGAACTACTGAAAAGAAGCATACTATGAAGCTCTGCAAAAAAAAAAGTAGTATATTAAGTAAAATAGGAAATGCAGGGGAAATTCTCTGACAGAGACTGCAAAATGATACCCATGGGAGTAGGGTAAAACTCTTGACACATAAATAAAGGGTGTTACTTTCGTGATTATCACTTTGGAACAGTACACTAGATGTGCATTGGATCATTCTTTGAATATATGCTTAGTGAAGCATAAGAAACAGTCATTTAGAAAAGTCCACACTCCAACTAGAACTCAAGAGTTAACGATGTGCCTGCTTTTTAAATAGTATCTAAGGTTTAATTCTTCCTATCTGGAAAGCAATGTAATGTAATTCAGAAACATATTGAAAAGGTGGCAAGGGTACTCGGACACATGTACAAACATTCCTACAAGGACCATAGAGTAGGATTCTTTAGTTTAGAGTAGGAAGCAATAAAACAGGATACAAGAGGACTCTATGAAATCGCAGAAGCTTTGCCTAATATGAAAAGGAAGCACTCCCTGACCGTCTCATACACAGTAGCAAGAATGCAACTAGGTAACTACTATTAAGTAGCACACCCAGGACAAACACAACTAGTGTAACTATCAAATAGTACACCCAGGACAAACACAAATTGCCATGAGGATGCTTAGGAAAGAAACCTTTTTAAAAAATATTAAGAAGTGTACCAAAGTTAGAGAGGTATCAATAACACAATGGTCCAGACAGAACCTCTGACTACCTGAAGTAGGAACAAATGCCTGACAGAAGAAAATTAAACAAAAGATCACACCACACTTACACTGTGCTTAGCCTCTTTGAGCAGACTCCAATAGCTACAGCAAGAGCCTGAGCATATCATGTAGTTATATTAACTTAGATTCTCAGTAATTCACATAATATCAATTCACATTAACACATCATTTTGCGAAGGCTCTTTGGTGATGGGTTACCACTGGTATTTTTCTTGCAGTACACAAATGGCACACAGAGAAAAATGTCAGATTTCCTTAGTCAATCAGAAATGATCACGAGAGACTACATCTCCCACTGAAATGGGAGCAGAAGCCAGAGAGTGAGAAAATTTAACCTAATGGGCAGTCATTGGCTCCATGTTCAAGGCCTTAGGAAATGACCTTAAAAGATCCAGATAAATCAGAGGAACAGCTAAGCCACAAAACTAAATGCACTAAATTTTCAGATATTAAAGAGAGTAAGAGAGTAAAACAGCAAAACTTACACAGAATAAAAACTGAGTCTGTCTATAAGACACATGCAGTGTTTAGAAGCAAAATCTACATAATTCAAAATTTTGCTTCATAATTTTCTATCTTGATGCTGCCACATATGCATGAAAACAGAGATGCTTCTAGAACCATGAGGACTCAGCAGCCTATGGGAGTAGAGGGAGTTTGGTTATTCTACTACTTAACCAGAGAGATGACAGCATTTCCCTTATAACCATTTATAATGTAGGGTTATAAGAAATATATCAGAACCTCTAATGAAACACATTCCAGTAATCTTTCAACACCAGAAATGTAAAGCTGCTGGCACTGAAGTATCAATTCTCAAAGAGGTTGCTCTAAAAAACACTGTGCAACAGCTTGGCAGCAAAAGAAGTGAGGACCTGAAGGCAGCAAGTATTATTCATGCAAAAATAGAATAAACACTGGCATTCAATACTGGACAGCATCCCCTCCCCCTTCATTTAAATATCCACAGGCAAGAGAAAATTTAATGTTTGGCCATAAGCACTTTTCCCCAGACATAAGTTTTTCTTATTCATGTATAATAAAAAAGACTCTTAAAACAGACAGCAATATTAGCAGACCAAGCTTCAGTGTATTTTTGCTGAGCTTTTATAAGAATTTTATTGGTAGGAGCAGTGAATGGTACTGGAAATAACTTATTAGAAAACATTAATTAAGAAAGTGACATTTTATTAAACATAATACAGCTTCTGTCATTAAATTCTTACATTAGATGCTGTATTATGTTAAAAATCTCTTCTGTCTTTTATTATTCTTTGTAAAGAATGTACCAACTGTACTTCTACATTCAAGGTCTGGATAGTACACTGTGAGCACATCTAAGGGACTGCTCTGCCTGCCACAAGAAACTCACTAGGTCTGCGACACATGGCCTTAAACAGACACACAACCTAAAGCTCATAACTGAGCTAAAAGAAAGTTGGGCGCAGGTGTAGTGTTTTGCCTTTATAGATGCCCTGAAAGACTGATAATTAAACTTGATAAGAAATGACACAAAAAAAAATTGTACTAGTGACTGGTGGAAACAAGTGAAACACTCATAGAGAGAGTAGAATGAGCATTAGATCAATAATATTTAAAACTATGACTTCGAAGTAAGAGAAATATTTCTACAATGTGCAGGACAATCTATGTCCAAAGTGTCTTCAATCAAAATTCTCTTATCAGAGCCTTACTACAGACAGGCTGCTGCTGCTGCAAGTGCTGCATTAATAGCACTTAAATTTGACTCAGCAAATGTCAAATCTTCAATAGAAGTGGCAATACAATGATACTTTTAGTAAGTGCTAGAAACATCTTCATTATCTGTTGTCTGCTGACTCCAATTTCAATCACTTCTCAGGCCACGGCTGGGAAGACACAGCCATACCAAACCCTCCCTGTACCAGCAGCACTCCAAAGCATCCTCTCACATCCAATACACATTCTTTTGTGAGGCCACTGCTTTTTTTTGCTATAATGCCTTTTCAGCATCGTTCTTTTATTTATAATGATGCCTATTGAAAACGATTTTATGACTGAGCTGCAAACTAGTCATCCTGATTTTTGGATTGCAGTTGAAGAATCCTTATCTGAAAGTACAAATCTTCCATACACTTTGTTTTGATTTTTATGTAAGAGACCAGTTACCTGTTGCCATTGACCTGTATCAATGGCTCCAGAACAGTTGCTTACATGATTTTTAAAGAAGTCTTTAAAGATATTTTCTGCTTTCTGATCCTCTGGCAATGACTAACACTACAGGGCAGCCTAGCTCCAACGATGACCCTTTTCTCCCATAACTACAGAATCAGTGTAAATTCTATACAGCAGAAATATAAGTTAGATCTAACCAGAGCATCTGATATTTGAATATTTACAATGCTTGAGTCTATATCTAATTCTTTGCCTGGAGTCACATTGTCAAAATATTGAAGTCAACGCAAATAATTTACCCCTAAATTATATAGGAGTTTCTCTTGAGCTTTACAGATAAGGGCTCTTTGGTTTTGGTTAAAGGTACTCCACACAGTCATCACAGCAGCCTATGAAATCACTTTGTGCAGGCCACCCTGATTCCACAGTTGTCTAGGGAAGTGGAAAAAATCATGCATAATTCAACTACATCAAAGAAAATCTTTTTTTTTCCTACTGGAAGGTATTTAAGTATGTGCTTGGCTTCAAGAACGAGAGCCACACTTAAAAGGATAGGGGTCAAGACCATCTCAAATACTTAAACTTTTCAAATAACTAGTACCTTGCTGAGTCAGGAGCAAATTGGACAGATAGTACAGTATGCCATCAGAAATGAAAGAAGACAGGAAGGAAGTGGCCTTAAAAGCTCTTACCTATATTCTTGCATATGCTTGTACATGTAGGTTTTCTTTGTGCAATGTACATGACTGCCTAAATTTTTTAATGAGTTCATTAATATAATTCCAATTGGTAAATTAAGGGAATGCTTTTAATCTTTGAACAAATTTTACCTTAAAGTCTAAAATAAGCAAGGGTGCTTAATGAGTATCATATTTTAGTATAAATTAATTTAGCTTCTAATAACCTGGGACATAATCTAAGAACTCAATGCAAAAAGCAGTGCACTCATTAAAGATATATAGAAAATAAACATTTTGACAACATATATTTTGCACTCATCATTTGTTTTTTATCCAGCCTTACGTGTTGGGGCAGCGAGCTACAAACTGTTACTTAAACTGGAATTTGTGCCAGGAATCTAATTCACAACTTCTGAGTCAGCTCTCCCACCCTCGCTGGATCTTCAAGCCTCAAAGTAACATAGTGTGCACTTACTCTAATTAACTGCTTTGCTAGTGGCTGTGGATTTCAAAAAAACAAAACCACAAAGCGCTCCCTTTCAGCACAGAGAAGGATATCTAGAGACTACCTTTTATTCCTTCCTGAGGACTGCATGTTGCAAATTGCTGAAGAACAGTATCATTGCGTCGGGAAGCAGCTGCGAAGTTATGACTCCCATCAAAGGCTGATTTTTGAAAGACTCCCTGGTCTGAGCGTTCCTAAGGGAAAAACAGAAACACACATTTTCACAAAAAATTTACATGTTCAACAATGCAGAAGAGCATCCATCACTGCACACAGCCCATGAATACAGTGTGATATAATGTGTTCACTGTACATTGCTTCCTCTCGAATGAGAAACGTGAAAGATCTCTTCACAATTGCTGTCTGTTTTTGCTGACCATGAAATAAGACAGTATCTAAGCAATAACAACCATTAAGAATGATGCATAAAAATGAAGACTTTTTTTTATGACCCACAACTGGCTTCATTCAAATTCTCCATCTGGGAGGGCAGCTTGTGACATTGTCAACACAAGAACACGGGCAATGCCAATGGTATTTTTCTGCCAGCCAGCTGGTTCCCTTCTCTCAGAGACTGAGTGCATATGTTCTGATGATCACACACTAGAACAGTTTTGCAAGGAAGGAGTTACACCAAACTCCCAAACGCAGGTCTTCTGGCTAGCAGCTAAACAAACTCCTGTCACACCTCTAGTCAGCTTTCTTTTGAGACATTTCCTACCCCCAATACATGCCATATCGCCTAATTTATTCTCCTGAGCAGTTGCTCAAAGGGAAAAAGTTGGGGGTGAAAAAATAATCACAGTTTTGAAAACTGGGACAGACCCAGAAAGACATTTCTGTGCTCGTTATTCAGGGAAAACTGAAAACCCAAACAGGGGAATATTATGGCTAGTTTTCAAAACAACCTTTATATTTTTTGTGGGATTTTTATCTGTTTTTTTGAAAGGGCCTCCAACTGGCTTCTATTTTTAAACTGCATGTTCATCATGCCAGCAAATGTTATACTAAATATACAATTTGTTAAATTTCATAGTTGCATCTACAGAAGAAATGCATGTGTTTCGCCCATGTAATTTATTTTTAAGATTATGCTAAGACTTGCAAATGAGTGCCTGCAAACCAGCACATAAGAAAGGACAGCATGTTACCTGTCTTTCAAGTTTAATAGTAATTTTAAAAATTATGTACCTTAATAAAAATGAAATAGAAATAAAATAGTGACAGAACAGTAAAACTGAAAATAATCGCAATAAAATGGCAAAAAATGCACCTCACAACACAAATCAATGCTGGGTTGCTCACGGTGCTAATATGGCTACCAATGTAGGCTCAGTGGACAGGCAGCACATGCAACATTGTCTCCTTCTCAGTGCAGCATAAGTGCTATGAAAAGGCTCTTTTGAACCTCTGTAGAGAAACACAAGCACACCACACAGCCACTGACAATTATGTTTTCTTCTTGTTACTGGAAATTCTTTAGTTTACGTAAGAATCCCTACATTGTAAAGTCCACATTTACTACTTTCTCATGGATACTGCTAGTTAAATTAAGTCTTGCAACATCCAAACTATCCATTGGAGACTTGTACACAGTTGGATAAAGAGCCTTAAATTAACAGCAACAACAAATCTGCTTTTCCAGCTCTTTGATAAATGACAATCAATATCCCAACAACTGATCAGTAACCAGCCTAATTCGAGTATTCAGCTTATAAAACATAGCTGTCATGGACGACCTCCATTAGTGTCCTCACCAATAAAAACAGTAATGCATTTCTAAACATATTCTCCTTCTACCAAGCGGAGATGCAGTACTTGAGTAGCAGTTTTGGGGAAAGGAAAGAATAGGCAACAAACCATTTCAGCTACAGTCTCCAGACTCAAATGGAATTACAATTGAACCTAAAGACTACCCTATAAAAATTAATTCCTGTCTAAAATGAATTTGATTCAATCAAGACCTCATTACGCATTCTTCATAGGGCATGAGTCAAGACTATTTACCTCCTTCATACATCTGAATGATACTCAAAACTATACACTTAACGATACAAAGTAGCCTCATACTTTTATCAGGACAGCTGATGTTCAAAAGTGTTTTTTTAAAACTTTTAGCCTTTGTTAGATGAGGAAAACTTGCGGGACTGAGCTTTCTTTGAAGGTGAGCTATCTTTCTTAAACCACAAAATTGCACAATAAATAGAACATATACTTTATAATTCTTGCTTATGGCACGATGCTATCACACACAAAAAGAAAGCAAAAATGTGTTTTCCACTAACATATTCTAGAACTGCTAATGAATATTTTTATATTTTCCTGGTGCAACTGACATCAGTGAAGGTTTTGTGAAGTGTCCTGCCAAGTTAGAGCATAATGTTTGAAAATTAATATACTTCTATTTCTCAATCAAGTGAAAAAGCAAAATCCAAGTTACACTTAGATACTAAGGTCTCTGATTATAACAACAAATGAAATTAGAAGAATTTAAATTGTCTGTATCCCAGCTATTACCTCGAGGAGAGAGCAGATAGTCAAAGCTACATTAACATATTAATCCCCTCTTTGGAATTTGTTCTAATATTTGTCAAATGAAAATAAGATGCAACTTTTAGCCTCATCTCAACAGCAAGACCAGGAGGTAACAACCAGAAACACGGTGTGAATCCTCACTGCATGAAGTCAGGAACTCATTCTGCCAGGAGAAGTTATCTGTGACAAATGCTTTAGTCATCATCTCTTGTATGCAAAAACACTGAGACTGGAAAGACATCTATCTAATAAATGCATTTATTGCTTTACCTCTGTCTGCACTTCTAGTCTCCGGAGAACTACGAGCTGGATCCTCCCACGAATGTTCCCCTCCATGGACATGGAGCGCCTTAGTGTTTCCATAGCCTCATGATTTGACTTGCCCAGAAGTGACTCCCCATTTACTGCAACAAGTTGATCATTTACTCGCAAACGACCATCCTACAAGCAAAACAAAAAAATGTCAAAAAATTTTCTTCTAAGATCAAGAATTATTAGGCAGAGGTGCTACATACAGGAAATCAAGATGCAAACTCCCCAAACCGAAACAATAAACCAAAAACCTCAAACAAGCAAACCAACAAAAATAACTAAAGACCCCTCCAACCCCCCAAAAAGGAAAAGCAGCTTTTGGTTACTTAAAAGGGCTCACAGCATAGCTGTTAGTATCCACATTGCAACTGCAAAGGAGTACTGCAAATTATTTTCCATGCATTATTATCAAGGTCTGGTAAGAAACAGCTACAAAAATTTTCTCTTACAGTCTCACTGGTGTCTATCTTGTCACAATTACCATCCCATCATGTGGGGCAGTGTTCTGATTTCAGAACTGCCATTAAGACTTCAGCATTCTTATTAATTAATGTTGTCCCTATATTACAACCTCTAAAACTGCTGCCAACAACAAAATTAAGGTTGAGCCATATCGAGTAACCTTTGATTTGAAAAAGTCATTCAGTTTCATTTGCCAAGGTTAACTGACATTTGTAGGTGTAATAAAATTGTGGACACTGCTATTTTATGATTTAGGAGTCCTATTGGTGTTGTCATTATGATCTGTGATTTATTTCTTTCCATAAAAGCATGTGCCATGGACTTTTCTCTCTTTAACAAGAAAATAAGGTCTATTAAACTGAGACACAAGAGTTTCTTTTAAAGCTTGTCAAGTTAGCAATTATCACATTGGTATCAGACCTCAAACAAGGAAGAGAAAGAATAAGAAACTGAAGACATCTAATATAGAAGGGTGGTGAAGAAAGAATAGCAGGGAAAGCGCTTGCACAGAAATACATTGCTGGGTTAAAATTAATCTGATTCATTCATAGGCTCATCACAAACTCTTCATAAGTCACTCATCTGAACTCTTTACATATTTCATGCATCTGAGTAATCCAAAATATATAATATACTATCTGGTTTTTATTTTGTTTAGAACTAAGATATTCAATTAACTATTCAGCAACTGCTGTCAAGTCTAAGTCATTTGAGCTCAAGTGAGCTACAGTAGCTGTGACACACCCAGCTTTATTAGTGCAATTTTTGTTGGAACTGGGTATCATCTTTACCATGGCAGAGTCCAGATAGCCACAGAGCAGAAGAAACAGCATATACCAGAATCCAAAATAAACTGGGATGGACAAGAAGGTGGAAAGACAGAATTGGGAGATGAGTCAGTGAAAGAAAATGAAGAGAAATAAAACTTTGCTCGGGAGGGTGTGGGAATGGATAGAAAATAGCAATGCCATTTGGAAAAGATACCAAAACCTCTCCCACCTCTCTGCTGAATGTTTCATGCCAACTTAAATAAACATACAGCCAAAGCTGTAAGTTAACCCCACCCTTTCTCTACACACAAATGGTGCCATAACATGTGCTAACGTTTGGGAGAGAAGAGTTAACACTGTTGAACAGAAAATTTTATTACTTGCACATGTTGTAATTCCTTTGTGTTCTATCAAAATTTGCTGAAATGAATGGAGCTATTCACAGAACAAGAGTTTGAGCAAAAAATATTTTAGTTTTTGTGAATTTCTCTAAGACTTTGAAAATTTTACAGGTCCTCATGTCCTCTACCTATGATCCCACAGGTTCTTTGATTACTTTTTTCGTTTCTGTGGATAAACAACCATGTATAAATATCCATTAAAGTTTCTTTCTAAAGCATATACAAATACAATGTCAAATGCACTTTGTCATTGACATCTGCTGACTATGCAACAGTCCTGAACACAGACCATATTTTTAAATGAATCACTTGAGCCTCAGACAGCTCTCAATTGACCTGATTTTTCATTTGCCTTGTAATATTTTTGTATGAGACTTTACATTTCTTTATACTTTAATATAAGGGGTCAGTTCTTCAGGAGCTTCTTTTGATGCATCTTCCTTTCTTCCCAGTCTGTTATGTGCAACATGTAAATGAAAAATTCAACTTGAACTCAACACTTCAACTGTAATTGGAGAAAAAAGCCTTTATAACTACTGATCAACCACACCTGCTAAGTCACCTGTACGAGATCAGCTGGAAGACAGCTGAACACGGTTTTCACACATGCTCAAGTAGAAGTTACTTCACAGGAAAACCTCTTGCCATTTTAAAGACCAGGAAAAAAACTCTTAACGTCTAAACAGTTTCCAAACACAGATTTTCACATCCCTTGTGTTATGGCCTGGTTTGGAAGCCTGAACTACAAGAAAATCTGCTTGGCTCAAAACAAGCTAAATGTTGTTTTAACACGTTTCTTCTTTCATCTCTGAGAGGTAGGTTTCTTTGTGGCTTTTGAGTAGGAAAACAACATTTGGCATTTCAGCATAACAGTTTTCAAATGCCATCTCTGAAACTCCAAATGAGCTATTCTAATAAGAGGTGACGTTACTCTTCCCTTGCTTATTTAAAAATTGTTGAGTTTTTTTCATGGAGACTCACAACAAGGGGTAGAACCTACCATCACACGGCCACCATATTCTTCAGACAGTCATTCACAAGACTCATGCTTTTTACAGTAGAGCAGGAAGATAAAAAGGCATGTTCTCCAAGGACTTATGTTTTTACTCAAAGCACACCTAGTTATTTCCCTCATCGCATCAATGACATTTCTCTCAGGAATTCCCTGATGGCACTTACTGGAATTATCGAATTTCCTCGTACACTGCACAAAGCAAGCAATGTTTACTGCAACAACAATCAGAAGGACTAAGGAGGTTCAAGCTACACCATATGCTTGATACGAACAAATGAACAGATAGAAAATATTCCATTATTTCTTATAATGGCTCAGCTGCAGTAGACAGCAAGTACCTGACCATCAGGAATGCATCACAAGTGAAAAGCCAAGATAGCTGAAAATGAGCCAGGCTGAAAATCCTAAAGTTACGGGGAAAGACGATGCATATAAACTCAGCTAATTATTAGTTTCCTTCACATGAAAGGCTCTGCACAGTTACAAACATCAAGTATTTTAGTAGCCTCTCTCTTATCTTAGGGATGATAAAAAAATAGACACTTGAAAAATTACAAAAGGAGGTTAAGAAGGGCTATATTGGTTCAATCAGCAAATGCAACTGTTTTTATACCTGCAGGATACAGTGTTAGAATACCAACTAGGAACATTAAGGCATTTTTATAATTTTTATTTCCTTTGGTTTTGTAGCAAAGGCAGTAAACAGACTCAGTCCTTACTGTAGCACATATGATGGCACATGCATTGACATTTTAAAAATATTAGTCCAGGAAAAAAAAATAATAAAGTACAGAATTAAAGACTTAAATTTTCCATTATGTTTTTTTACAAACCCCTGACTGCACTTTGGAATGCCACTGACACATCAGAGATACATTACTGTGTTGAAGTGTCAAAATACTAAAAAATGTTGGTCTCTCCTCAGACTTTTGGTTCAAATCAATAACAACAGCAACCAACCAAGATGGTCTGCATTTCATACAGTACTCTTCATTCTAAATAACACACTAGTAAAAGAAATTTAATCCATTGAAACCTTTATACTGCATTAGAAGGATTGAGCATTTACTTCAGCAGTGAAACAAATGTATTGCAGTTCGATGTATTACATGTCTTGCAAGTGGTGACTGTACAGACAAGGGGATAAAGTTCCTGCTTGTATTAGCATGATACACCAAAATCTGAAAAAATTTTAAACTCTAAATGCAGAAGGGAGAAACAGTGAGAGAATTCTCATGTCAGGGAGCATTACGATTTCCTCCTGTGATAGCTTCCCAAGAAAACATTGTACACTGAAAAGCAAATGCACATGCCTTAATCCATAATAATCCATTTCAGAGAGTTACAATGAATAGCATGGGAAAACACTCTGGACAACTACCAGCTGGAAAGAAAGGCTTTTCATTTCAAAACTTGCTCCAAGAAGAGATTTAAAATAAGGACAATAGGACATCTTTAAATATTTATGCACAAATATGTGCATGCTTTTTAACTTGATACAAGAAATTTTATTAGTTGTTAATACCCACTGATTATGTTGTGTTCTAGATAAAGGTCATTAGACAGGAGAAAGACAGCTGTTCTCCATGCATGCACTACAGTAAACTGACTCTTAAAACATTGCCAAAATGACTGTGTTCTGGGAGCACTTGTATACAACACATAGGAAAGATTCTCTGAACAGTTCTGGTTGAAGTTAGAGCCTCAGCTACTGTCTCATTTGCTCTGAAGCCTACATTCAGATCTATTACTGCAATGCAATTCTAATTGGTGAAAGGGTTATAACAAGGTAAAATAGAGAAAAGGTCACAGAACCACATGCTATCTCAAGACAAAATAATCTTCTAGCCATGGTGACTAACTGTGCCAGTTGTCTGTTTACTTAGGTGTGAGCACAGAAGTCCTGCTTTTTTTGTCTATAGATATCGCAAGCCAAAATTAACTGCTCTGGAGTGAGTCACTATGGGGGAATAGAGAGCAGTAAACACAGAGATAGAAAGGGCTACGTGTCTATGATGTACTAAGTCAGGCAGCCTGATTCCCACTAATACTGCTGGAATATGGCTCCACAAGCTTCGTTATACAAAATGAGTTTATCCGTGGCAATATACAGTGTCACTGCAACTGGTGTGGACAATTACTCAGGGACACAGAGTTGGGAAAACAAAGAGGGCAGCCACATTTCCACAGTAAAATGGGTTGTGCTGTGTAGCAGACATGCATATAAATTGAGTTGATCCAGCCCTAATTTGCCCAATTGTGCCTTAACTCATTTCTTATACATACCAAGTAGATGAAGATCCAAGCTATGAAATAACTGTGGGACTAGCACAGGTAAATAACAGAAGCAGGAACCTATTCAACATTCACATCAAAGCTAAAACCTTGATTATTGCTATTTACTAGCTGCTGTAAATAGATGATAATGAAAGTTTTAATGCTGTGAATTGTCTTACTCAGCAGGTTGATGTCAGTAGAGCAATTTACATATACTGATTTAAAAGGTATTTTTACAGAAAAGAGAACTGCAAGGAATTGCTGAGATAACACAAAAGACAAGATTTAAATTATGGATCTACAAGAGTTAAACATATTAGCTCTGAAAGATTAAGTCTTGTTTCACATTTCAAAAAAGTTACCTTTTCAAGTTTTATTTGGGGGGAAAAAATGCAGGCAACAGATTTCCTAAAGATTAGAAAATAATTCAAACACTTTTTAATCATAAAAATGTCCAACAGTCCTTGTACAGACCTTAGAGGGAACAGAACAACACATAATACTGCCAATTTACCAATTCAGTATTACCAATTCAATCCGCCTCAGGAACAACTGGTAACTTCTGCACAACTGATGTCAAGCTCAGCCAAAACACATTTTTAGTACAGTGGTAAAAAATATTTTGCATTAAAAGAAAAAAAGAAGAAAATTATGAGACAGTTGTTTTTTTTACAGGGGTAGTACAGATATCAACTTCTCTGCCACTGAGGCTGTCAGCACGCAAACTTTTCTATGCACTTCTGTAGGCTGTGGGTAAGCTGGAAGGTGGTCTCTCCTCACACCTACTATCCCTACACACCCATTATCCTTCTCTCCCTTCCCCATTTCCTGCAGCACTCAAATGTGCCCCAAGATTTCCACTAAGTCATTTTCATTGTGCCAAACCCTACCCCACACACACACACACACACACCCCATCAGAACTGTGAGACAAAACATTAGCCTTGCAGTACACCTAAAGGATGGAGTGACAAAGGAATTTGTTCCTAGAATGCTTATCAACAGAGATGCAGCACTCAGCATAGAAATGACAGAATTCTAACACAATCATCTTCTATATGCTTCTTCCATACCTTAAAAGCAGCACCTCCATGAATAACAGATTTGATAAAAATCCCAAGATCAGCTCCAGTCTCCCGAGATTTATTGCCTTTCAAGCTCACACCAAGCCCAGCAGAGCCAGAGTCATTCAGAGGAATCTCAAAGGTCAGCTGCTCTGTGGTTTCTGGAGAAAAAATACTGCAGTTTGGCTCTCCTTTCTGTAGGGGAAAACGAGGATGAAAATATGGGTGAGAAGAGGGCATGAGTTACATCCATAGGTTCATGACAAGAAATCGTCCTCTTTTCCAGAAAGTAGCTTGAAGAAGCACCCTTATAACCAATAATACATTTAGCTGATATTTTGTCACAAGATCTGGCTTAAAATGTTATTTTTAATGATACCAGGGAATATGCCTAAATAGAAGGTAAAATAGCTCAGTTCCACATGATATAAAACTGATGTTGCAGCAGAATATAGAAAAGACATTTAAACACAGCTGCATTTAAAATGTAAGCCACAAAACTCTCAACATCTTTACATGCAGCTCACACACTGTAATGATAGTTGTACTGTTAAATCCCATTCCCCTCTGAAAATTGAGTTTCATCCTTAAAAAATTATCCTTCCCTTAAACCTGCCTACAGAGAAAAGCTGGTATAACAAAAGTGAGGGTGAGAATTGAAAACACAGTAACTTATTCTGCTCTCCCTTTGTACATACTTTTATTCTATAGAGGTTTGATTGTTCTTTTTTTATTTCTGGTATAGGGTTGATCCCAAGATTTTTCCTAGATTAGACTGTTGTTTACAAGACTGCCAAGGCAAGCATCCATAGCTGGGGAAGATCAGAAAGGACTTTATCTTACTGTATACTGTATCTGCAGTTTTGAAGGGCTGTATGTTGTTGGGCATGTGTCTGTGTGCCTGTCTGTTTTGGCTTTTTTAAAACAAGTCAGAATCATGAAATTAAACAAAATCAAACTCTTGCCTGAAATATTTCTTCTGGCACACCTCAAAAATAAAACCAGGACAAGAAGACTTATTATGAATTAAAGTGCTCATGGAAGGTATTAGTGGAAAAGACTGCATCACTTCCAATTTTATTCCGTTCTTCCGTGTCCATGTAACTCTAAGACAATTAGTTAGCTTTTGTTTCTTGTCATTTGGATCTTTTGTATTCTTCGCAACAGTAATGTTAAAAAATTAATAGGAAACAAACTATGAAAAGGAAACAGACAATTAGAAGTTGAACGATGACTGGGGGCTTCCTTCATGAGTGTCAAAATCACAGAATCAGTTATGTTGGAAGAATTGTCAAAGGGACCAGAGTTGGTCATCTGGTCCAACCTTCTTGCCCAAGCAGGGCCATCCTAGAGCACATGGCTCAGGGTTGCATCAAGATGGTTCTTGAATACTTCCAGTGAGGGACAACCCACGACCTCTCTGGGCAATCTGTTCCAGGGCTAAAATCTTACATTAAATTATCGAGTAGAGGCTGCATGCAAGGAGGAGTGTAGTAGCTGGGCCAATCCTCCTTTTATGTAATGAGGAATCACTTCCAAGATGTAAGATGCAGTATCAATGCAAAGGTGCCAGCAGTACAGATGTTCTCTTAGCAGCCAGAGCAGTCCCATGTAGTCAGCTCTCATGCTGTCTGATCAACAAGAACTATGACCACAGAACTAAGTGCCGAAATTAATATCCTGAACCAACCAAGAATCAGAAACAGTAACCACTAAGCACACTTTCATCTATTTTAGATGCCCTTTCACTGATGAGAAGCAACTACTGGCTAGAGAGGAATTGCATGAGCCAGCGAACTAGGACTATCAATCTCAATCCCAACATGCACTATGTTTAAATTTTTTTCCAGGAATGTAACTACATGATATTAAATTCAAGACAATTTCCCTAACTGCCAAATATAAAAATGACATAGCACCAACACTGACAATTTTCCTGATGCTAGCATTTATCTCCAGTACCTGTGTTACTCATTTGTGCTTCTGTCTGTGTTCACCAGACGTATAGAATTCTCAGTTACAAATCTCTTGCTTTTATTTCCCAGCTGTGGATATGGACATCCTGAATGTAACACCCCAAAGCCTGTTATTTTGCAACTACTGTGAACAATACAGAATCATAATTTGTACATGCTCCTTCCCTGACTTCAGAAGAACCAGTGTAAGGAAAAACCCCACTATTACTGGACTTCTAACGTAAGTATTTTGCATTTAACTTTCCCAAGGTTTTACAGGAAACATTTTCTGCCCAATCCTTTGGTTTATTTAATTTTATTTTTATTTTTAAATTATGCATATTCTCATCAGTTGATTCTGAACTCTACTAAAAGGGCACATCCTGTTCAGATTTGGACAACAGAAATTCTTCTCAGGGTCCCAGACATGCGATGTCTCCTGCAGCCCTTCAAGACAGGACTTGGTATTACTTTCCTCATCCCCTAGTCAAGTAGTTCCTGTGCACTGCTGCTATTCTTCCACTTTAATTCATGACACCTGCACCAGACTCTTGCCCCTTCTCCATGTCAGCACTGTGTTTTTTTGTCTTTCCCAACACCATGAGAAAAGCAGTGAAGACATAAAGAGTACTCACACCTGTGTTAACCAGAGCAGTCACAAATTGCTTTACAATGCTACCTCAATATGAACACAGACCTCATATAAAACTGAATTTGGATATATTCAGATAAATGCTTAATGGGAATGGCTGAAGGTAATCCCTGGCACAAATTATTCTGCAAGAAAATACTTTCAAGGAAAAGATGGCACAGTATTTTTGTCAAGAAAAAATTACGTACATTTTTGTTAGCTTCTTTCCCAGGAAGCTAACCTGTTTCACTTTAAGCTCCAAGATGTAAATTAATTTCTGAGAACATCACAAAGTTGTAGAAAAATGAGTACAAGAAGATCTATATGTGTCCCTCAAAACAATATATGAAAATAAACAAGACAGGTGAGTCTGCTTGAATTTGTGTCAAGCACTCTAACCAATACCAGTCTCATTCGTATTATCATTCTTGTCTCTGACCCACCCATGATACTGATGACAAGGCCCCAGCTCTCCTGGCTATGTCCAGGGCCATAGCAGTGTTGGGAGCAGCAGCAGCTGTAGGAGGTAGGGCAGCATCTCCTCTGCAGCACAGGCTCTGTAGCAGCACTGTGCTCAGCTCTAGGCCTAAAGAACCAAGCTGGCCAGGGACATAAAAAGTCTTCAAAACACTTTACAGTAGCACTTCTCCCCTTTTTCTTCGCAGGCAATTTTTGATAGAAGAAGTATCTCACTTAAACGGCAGGCAAGGAAATGTTAGTGAGACTCAAAAAACCCCTTTGTCCTCAATATCTGGGGAAAAGAGTCTGACTAGGTGGTCACTAGAAGTCTCCCACTATAAACTTCTTAAGATAAGAGTATTACACACAATTTTTCAGCACAATCTAGTGCAATTTTAGATTCTGATGCAAACAAATTGCTAAAAGCATGGTAATTAAAAAAGAAGGTAACAGAGTTGTTCTGTGTCCTTTATTTCTCAACTTCCTTTAGAATAACTATGCCATGCATTAGCCCTTGTTAAGTAACCTAC